TAATTTCTTAGCTTCATATTGATCAGATGGTTTATTATCTGTTGTCTATGGCATTAATACTAGATCATCGATTATTACTAAAACAACTCCATATCAAGTTATGTTCGGACAAGAACCTCGTTCTGATTCTAATTCTTGGAAACTTGTTAAAGAAAATGGTATGTTGATAAAGAAGATTTACCAACACTAGTTGCTAATTCAAATGATGATTCTAATAATAGGATGAGCAACATAAATGAATATCTGAATCAAAACTTGATTCAGTAAATTTATTTATTTTTATTTTTATTTTCATTTTCAATAGCTGTAAGAGATAATACAAGACCAGCTATATTCATTTATGTTGCTCTTCCTATTATTAGAATTGTTCTGTTATATATAAAAAAATCCATGTTTACTTTAATTAACGTATTTTGAATTCAAAGCAACTACAAACCATGGTACATATATCTATTTTTTCTCTATTTAGAGAAACAACAAACAGGTTTTATTGTAATCGATATTGTTCTTACTGCTGGTGACTGTATATCAAGTAGTGACTCTATATCAAAAATGGTGATTTTATCTCAACTGGTGATTTTACATCAGGTGGTGATTTCATATTAGGTTGTGATTTTATCTCAACTGGTGATTTTACATCAGGTGGTGATTTCATATTAGGTTGTGATTTTATCTCAACTGGTGATTTTACATCAGGTGGTGATTTTACATCAGGTGGTGATTTCTTATTAGGTTGTGATTTTACATTAGGTGGTGATGTTATGTTAGGTGGTGATGTTATGTTAAGTGGTGATGTTATGTTAGGTGGTGATGTTATGTTAAGTGGTGATGTTATGTTAGGTGGTATACGTCTTGGAATAGGTATTTTTCCATTTAATGGTTCTTGTCATCGACTATCTCATTCATGTCGTACAAATAGTACACAACATTCATCATGAAATTGAGTATAAAATTATATTTTATTTTTCATTTTCTATATGATCAACCAAAATGTTCTGAAGATGGCATTAAAAATTGGCCGAAAATTCAACAATGTATTATATTTTTTATTTCATATAGCTGGTCTTGTTTTATTTCTTACAGTTATTGAAAATGAAAATAAAAATAAAAATAAATAAATTTACTGAATCAAGTTTTGATTCAGATATTCATTTATGTTGCTTATCCTATTATTAGAATTGTTCTATAAAAATTCCATGTTTACTTTAATTATCAAATGATGATATTATTCAACTTGTTCAACAATTATCTGATAATGCTGTTGCAAATTTTGTGACTTGATATTAGTTGATATTTCATCACCACAGTCACACAAACATTCGCAAACAAATTAGTGACGAGTAAGTTACATAGAGAGATGTGTGAATATATAAATAAATACATATAACAATTTATATTTATATCTATATTTATTTAGAACAATACATATTGATATCGATATACATTACAACATTGAAGCTAATATAGAAGTTAAAACTGGTCGAGTTATAAATTTTGAATTATAATTGATCAACTTTTCGATCACCAAGTTCATTGAGTTATAACTATTAACCATTTTAACTCAATTAACTTTTTGATTGTTTAAGTAGATTTAATTAAGTTGAAACAGTTATTTATTATTTTGATTTTATTGATATGTTTGATAGAATAAATTGATAAAATATTTATTTCAGTGTTCTTTACTTTAAAAAATTATTATTTATAAATGATTCTCTGAGTGATTTTTCATGTATTTATTTACAAGTTACGTCTTCACGTATTTACTTGTCGTGCACGAATACACGTGTAAAACAATATATTTTTCGTTGTATGATCAATAATGATCTTTAAAATATGAGCAGCTAGGAATAGTATTTGATGTTTGACATAAGTTAATTCTCTTCTTTTATTTTATTTTATTGTATTTAAATTAACAATTTATAATTTATTAAACATTAATGACGTTTCGTATCTCGACGAAGTATTTTATCAGACAATAA